GGCAAGGCCGTTGAGAATACTCACAATTTATGAAACTTCAAAAAATTGTATTATCCGTCAAAAGTTGTTTATTGAAACCACAGTATACTGTGATTGAAACTACCTTCTATTTTTGTATCATGGACAAAATATATTTTACCGTCAAAGAGAAAAATGTTTCAATTCGAAAGAAATGTTAAATTATTTTATCGCTTTTTACAACATTTAAAGATGTTTCTTTTTGCAACAATTGAAAATTGATTGCTCTGACGATAAAAAGAGCTTTGTCCGTCAAAGATAGACATAAGTGGTTTTGTCAAATGTCCACAGAAATGTAAATACATCAGTGACGAACAAAAGTATTGGCACAGAGAATTTTTGGCAATGTATGCAAAGCTTTTTATTCTAATTTCTTTTCGGTAATATTTTATAAAAAAATAGTTCATACTAGTACAAAAAAAAAAACAAAAAAAAATCGACACTGCAAAACTCAGGAAAATTTAATAAATGTGTTCGTCACTGCATGTTAAATTCATATTTACTTCCGAGTGCATTTGAGCTAAGTTCGCTTTGAATTCAAATTGGCAGGGGTTGAAATTCACTCGGAAGTGAACCTACCTGCATGTATTTATTTACATAACATTAAGTTTGTAATTAAAACCGTAAGTTGACGAAGTTAATGAATTTATAATATAATAATTTTTATTTAAATTCTTGTGTTGCTTTCAGATTTTATGATAAACGTGATGCAGAGGACGCATTAGAGGCCATGGATGGTCGAATGCTTGATGGCAGGGAGTTGCGTGTTCAGATGGCTCGCTATGGTCGACCAAATTCTCCGACACGTCGCACCAATAATAGACGTGGCGGCGGAGGTGGTAGACGTCGTTCGCGTTCACCTGTACGTAGGCGCTCCCGTAGCCCCCGTCGTCGTTCGTATTCACCTAGATCCAGATCTCGTTCGGCGGCAGGTAGTCGTTCACCTGTTCGACGCAGCAAGTTTTCACGAAGTCCAGTTGGTCGTAAATCTTTGAGCCGTAGCCAAAGTCGCAACGGTATAGCTGCTCGTAGTACGTCACGCAGTCGAAGCCGGTCCTAAAGATGACAACTTATCACTGCGACAAATCATTGATATCTTTAATCAGGTACTTTGGTTCCCGTAAATCATTTATTCTATATTCATTCAAATTTTTTTTGTAGAAATCAAAAAAATGGACCAGTTTGCATTGAAATTTATTCATATGGTTGATTAGTGGCGTTTTCATAAACAAACATGAGTATTTCGAGTTTAGTGCTGCTAACTAAACAGGTATAACAATTTAATATATAAATTGTAGCACTTCAAAATATAAAAACATTCGAAACGGAAAAATGTGAAAGATAAGATTACCAGGAAACTCAAACTTGCTCTTTATTTAATATCCATTCACATTTGCCCTAATTTCAGAGTATGTGTTAAATTATACCTATTTGAGCACATAACATTTTTCCTACATTTCCAACTAATGTTTAAAATGAATTTTACCATTTTTCACATGAAGTGTGTTGGCGTATTAAAACATATATGATAACCCCGAATATAATATTATTATTTAGACTCATCAAAAATATCGATAATCCAATTTTAGAAAAGCCATTTTAATTTAATTTCGTTTAATTAGAAATCAATAATGGATTTATAATTAAAAAATTCTGTTTCCAAAATTATCTACTCGTGTGTATTAACATCTGAAAAGTAATATGAACGTATTTTAAGTAAAAAAAAATAATAATAAATGTAATCCAAATATTTAAACTCGTGAAGCGTATAGGGAAAGTAAGGATGTCAGTCAGTTTTGTGCAACTACATTAGATTTACATATGAATTACACAACACTTAATATAAATGTTTGCATAATTAAGTTGCTAAGATTTTGTGTAATTTTTATGAAGTTAACACGTTTAAAACCCATTATGATTGCATGCCGTTAATATATTTTTTACACTTCTATATAACGCAGGCAAAAACAAAGATTGCTGTAAGGGCTGCTGTAAAAGTGCGAAAGAGGTTAAGGCAGACACAGTAAAATGAATTACATATATAAAATAAATAATGGGGAGGAGAGTGCAAGAGCAGGAGGCAGAGATTCATAAATTCATTGGTGACTGCTGCGTAGCGAAATTAGGATATACGTACTCCTGCTACTCTTATTGCCGCTACAGCTGCTGTTTGCTGTTGCTCCAGCGTTACATTTGTACAACACATGAGTTGCTGCATTAACAAATTTGCTCCAAACTTGTGCCTAACACTTCGATTGGATTTCTCGTGTATAGGATAAACAAGAGAAACGCAATCTAAGTATTAAGCTCACGATAATTTGTTGTTCGAGTTCGCATCCTGTAGATTCAAATGTTGCTGTTCACTGACAATAATGTTGCTGCCTCTGTGCTGCTGCTTCAATCCCGTTTTTAATGGTATTACGTAGACAAAGATCCAGCAATAGTGCACTTTTTACTTGATTTTGAATAACTATGCAAAAACCTGCTACGGACAGTACTTTAATTTGTATGTCTATAAAAGGCGTTCGCCGATTGAAGGTTTCATTGTACTCATGCGCAGCAGTTGAAGCGGTATACCTGTATTTTTATCAAAAAGTTCAACGAACTAGAGAAGAAATCGGACAAGTAATTGAAAGCAGTACAGCGGCAGGCTTAAATGTGTAGTGCGCATAACTGTTGCAAGCAGCTGTATGCGGTACCTGTATGTTGCTGCTATATGCTGTTGATTTACTTCAGTACGCTTCATCGTACGTTGTTCGACTTCGTATGGGTGGTGTTAGTAGATAACCTTCTGCTGTTGGTGGTATGCGGTTGCGAGTTCTAAGTAGTTGCTGTTCCTCCGAAAGGTTTTATTTCTTCCAAGTTTGCAGCACAGGTAAATCGGTGAAGTTTCGTTTATCTTCCGAAGACGAACTGCGTTTCAATGGGCATATATGGTTACAGGGAATCCAAAAGGCTTTGGAGATTGTGTTACAGGTAGGTGGTTGTGAATTTACGAAATAATTACATCTTGTTTCAGGTCAGCGCTTAATGAATTTTATAATTTGAAGCTTTAAAAATAAAAATAAAATATGCAGGTTTAAAAAACTGCTTTTCATTTGAACATAATGCGGCAAAAATTTTCTTTAAATTGTAATGAATGGTGGAAAGGTAGTAGGGCAATAAGTAGATTCGATGGGGACTCTGAATACATTAGGCGAAGTGTAAGAACTCGTGAACGGCAGGTTTTTTTACTTAGGGTGCATCACGATATTTGGCATTCAATAGATCTTGGGTGCGTTATGAAATGCATCAAGCCAAAGCATCAGTCTCTTACTTCTAAATTATAATTGATGCAAATTCCTTATTTACGCAACGTATGTTCCAATTAGGCATTTAACCGTGGTTACGCATATTGCATATTTCCATCAATTACAGGGCTTGTTCGAGTTGCAATCACAACCGCAGTGTTGCGCGAATTATTAAAGTATCACGATCTGTGTGAATTTCTAGCAATGTATTATAAGTTGGGCAGTTGCAACAATGTTGCCATTTTTCATCAGTACAGCAGTAATGCCGCTTTTATTATGTGCCTCGAACAGGCCCACAGTTTAGAAATAAATACATCTGATGCTTTGGCTTGATGCATTTCTGAACACACCCCTTATGAGAACTTTACTGCAGAGCAGATATGTAGATGATAGTCTTCGAAATCGGAACCTCCCTGATGCAAGGCACATAAATACAGGTAGAAGCCAAAATGACGTTGCTCTCATGAGAACCCATGGTGGAATTATACAAGGTGTTGTACGTAGTGACAGCTCATGTC